CATGGTGGTGTTGGGTTGACGGTTGGACTCGATGATCTTAGAAGGTCTTTTCAACCTTAATGATTCTATGATTCTATGATTTCATTGTTTATGTGGACTTTTTAAAACTCTGTATGCAGCTGTACTTCTTCTCTACCAGGATTAATAGTATGCACCATTTCTGTCAAACATACAAAAAGACAATAGCAAAAACAAATATCTTATTTTGGGGCCACAAAATGAAGAGTGAGAAGGAAAGATGTAATTTTTAATATTGTGGTCATCTGGGAATTAACTTTCTTAGAAAACAGTTACTTTTTAATTAACTTGCTTAATTAGTTTTCAGTTTAATTTGTACAGCAATGCCACAAACACCAATCAGAATTTGTTTTGTATATGGAATAGAATGAGTAGTAAAGAGAGCTAAACATCACAGAATTGTCTTTGTACTCCTTGCAGCAGAGAAGACTTGGATGCATCACCTGTCCTTTATCTCAGTGCAAAAGTTCATCAGAAATGGTTACAACTGATCCAATTTGAAATAGTTTTTTACGAGCGACTGTGACAAAAAGAAGCTTCAGTGTAACTCAGGTTACAATGGGTAACACTCTGTTGTTCTGCCTGTATTTCAGGTCACTCTCTGTACCGTATGCTTACCAGTGCTGTGCATTTTGGGGTTGTGATTCTTACTTAAACTCTAATGCTGAAGATTCCAGTCACCAAGATCAAGGTGCCTTGATGGATCGTGAGAAGGGTAAGTGATTCATTGTACTAAACCGGCAGTATTATTTTGGGCCAGACTAGACCGAGTAACAGTGTGTGCTTGTCTTTGAATAAGGAAATTTGGAAAATGTAAATCTTTATAGGGATACAAAAGCTGACTCTGAAAGTGCTTAGTGGCTGCTTACAGATAGGCAGTGCCATGTTCTTTCTAAATGTGTAAGACCTGTCTAAGGAAAAAAAAAAAATCTTTTTTTTTTTTAAATTCTAAACTGCCAGTATTGTTTCTGTCATTTTCTGCCAGAATGAAAATGTTTTATGGTTCTCAGTATTTCGAGCTTCCTGTTCAGAAAGGGCTTGTCCTTCCACTGTCTACTTCAGGGCCCATAGATCTTTCCCTGGTGATGAAAGATGTTGCTGCTTTGTTACAAAGCATTGTGAGTAGCTGGGACAGGCAGTAGTAACTCAAACTGCTGCAGTGATTTCCACGCTGAGCATTCAACCTTACATGGCAAACTAGAACAGCTCCACTTGTTAAAGGCTTGAACGTTGGTGAAGTGTTAGGTATTTGATCTTTCAAAGGACTACTTCCATCCTAGGCAGCTTCACTGCATTTTGCTTCTTTTTTTGATTCCTACAACTAACCCGTTTTTCATTTTTACTTGGATACAGCTGATGCAGATGCTCTAAGAAATGAGGAAAATGAGGAACTGGGACAGACTATTATTCACTGTACACCAGCAACAGGTACATCTTATAATATGCTTTAGCCACATTGTGAACTTCGGGCATGGTGTTACGCAAATAGTTGTCTGCAGAATTACATGTTTCATTCCTCGTAGTCATTCTGTACACAGAAGATTAAATTCTACACTGCTTGGGTGAAACTTCATTTGATGTCAGTGTTGTTTTGGATGAGCAATCACAAAGATTTGCCTCAGCTTTAAACATGCAGCACTATATTGGAGAAGTAAGCATAAGCAGAACATACAAAACTGTAATACTTTTATTTGGAGCTTGCTGTGTTTAATGCACTGTCCCCTAATTCTGCATTACTCTTGCCAAAGAGATGTCTGTGGAGCAGACTGTATGAATGCTCATCTGTTTCAGTGAGAAGTCAGCCTGTGCTTTAAAAGCTTAACTCGAATGGCTGTCATTGGTGGTTTTAACTAAGCCTGATGTCTTTGCAGGAGAGAGGAGGAGGAATGCACACGTGATCTGTTCCGCAGCCCTGCTATAGCCGCATTAATTGACAGCAGAGGGCTGTTACAAGTAGCTGGAGCAGGCAGTAGCATCTTAAACTGCTACAGATATTTGTGCAACGAGTAGTCTTATTAGCATACCAGAACTACTCCAATTCAGGCTTGAACAGTCCAGGAGTGTTGAAAGTCTTTGATCTTGCAAACAAATACTTTCATTCTAGGTAGCTTCATTGCTGCCATTCTGCTTATCTTCCTCGTACGGCGAATTTCCACACACGGTTCCACTCAGCTCCTAAAGCGCTTGCTGTGGTGGTGCCTCCTACTTCCTTGCCTTTGCCACGGGCTCTCTAGAGGATTCCTTCTATACATCTTTTACCCTCCTGTTTGCATAAACAGGAACGCATAGATGGGGGAACAGAATGCTTCCAGTGAAGTTACTTCTGGATGAACAGGGGTTTTCCAAGTCGTCTTTCATTCTCTTCTCCTAAACTGGTATTTTACATCCATTACGAAAATCTGTTCACTCTTCATCTTTTGGGCTAGCTCCAGCTTTAGTATATAGAATAGCGCAAGGATTTCTTGATCACAGCCAAAAAAAATTGTGATCAGAAAGTCAAATATATTATTAATGTAACTGTACGTGATCTGAGAATCAATTTGACCAGTGCTGCTTATTTGCTTTTGATCTCCTGTTCACAGAATGAGAATTTGGATGGTGTGTTACATGGGTTAAATCTTTAAAGCCTTTAGCTCTCTCTTTTTGCCCATGCCAGAGATGCTGTAGCTCTGAAAGGAATGAAGAGCTTGTTTTACAAGTTCACAATTTGCCTTGTTTTTCACCAGTCCCTCCCATACTAACAACTTGTTTTCTATGCCATGCTGTCGTCTGGTCATAAGTAGGACACTCCACCCACCATGTAAGTTCTGAATCATTGCTCATCTCGTAGATCCACTTTCCACTTTGCCTAATGGCAGGAATGGATTGCTGAACAGTGGCGCTCAAGTAGCGTAGCACTGAAAGCTGCGAAACTCATCCTTCCGAGCATGGATTTTCCCCGGTGGACTAGGAATATTAGTGAGAGAGGAGGGTAACTTTTAACTCTAAGGATAGTTAGACCTTGGCAGAAAGACAGGAAAGCGTGGTGGGTTTTGTTTGTCTAAAGGTACCTCATTGTACAGCTACGAAAAAACAGACTTCAAACTGATTTTGGAAGCACAGCACTGACATTTTTAAATCTCCTAAAATAGGAAGTTGGTTTTATTTTTAAGTAGATTCAGCTTAGCAGGTATTGTTGCATCATGTGAATGTACTGTAAAAATAATTATTCTGGCAAGCGTGTCTTACTCAGGAATACCTGCAAAAAAAGGGATTTTACTGCTGATTTTACCGGCCTGATAATGCAGTTAGTACCATTATTTCTTGCCCAGAAATGAAGCTTGCTCGTTTAAACAAACAAAAAGATTCTTTTTTGACTTGTCAGTTCAGTAAATTCTGGAAGTTGCTGTAGGCCTTGGGAGATTTTTGCACTGACATTTAATCATTCTCCACAGTTGCTCCAGCCTGCATTAGGGATGGGTTGTACTTAACTTTCACCTGCCTAAAGGAAGGGCATGAGCTGTGCAGAGCCGGGAGTCGTGGGCTGAATCCGGCTCAGAAGCTCCAGCCCAAGGTGGCAGAACAGTCTGGCATTTTTCTGCTCTGCCTTCAGCTCCCAGAGTGCCCGACTGCAGGGAGAGATCCCCAGCTATTGTGCTTTGGACAATTAGCAGTGCCTAATGGGGATGTAGGAGAGGTTAAACTCTTCTAATTGTTACTTAAAATCAGTAGGATTTCCCTATGGAATAAATAGCAATTAGAAGGATTAGAAGGGTAAGCAGTAGTAGTGACCTTTTTTCCTTGTCTCGCCTCATGTTGTTTTGCTTGTTGGACATTTTTTATTATTTAAGCTTTTTTAAGTGGCAAAAGAAGAAGAAAAAAGAAATCATTTTTCCTATATGACTTTCCAAGCTCACAGTGCCTTTCAGTGATGAGGGTGGGGGAGAGGGCTTGTGGTGAATTCCTGTCCCTATTAAAGCTGATTAAATCGAATTTGTCGGCTGTTTTACAGATGTTTCCTTGTGACCAAAAGTTACTCCAGAAGACATGTTTGTGAATCATTTTTTGAGAGAACATGTTACTTCTAAAAAATTCTTTCCCCTTACAAGTCGGTTGTGAACGTTTGCTTTTATTTTGTTACCAACCTTTTTAATGAAGTATGAAATCTAAAGAAAATAAAACGTATTTAGGTGGCACTACTAAAAGCTATTTTGAGTAGCCAAAAGGTAATTAAGTTTGTTTAGCTAGCTTGTTTATACAAAGTATTCTCAAGTGACCATTCATCACAGTAATTATTATTTCAGGCATAATTAATTAGTAAATAGCTTCAGCAGAATAGTTTACTTTCAACTGACCTATTTAGCAGTTCAGCTGTGTACTCTATTCATGAATTAATGAGGAGTGCTCTTGTAATACCTTTTGAAAATCTTGCTTATTAAGGCACGATTTTTTTCCTAAATTGGTTGTCTTTCTGTTATTGTTTTTTTTTTCTCTTCTAGGTGCTTTTAAGCCTTGTGAATATTTATTGGGCAGCTGGATGATTCGACTTACTGTCTGGTTTATTTTTTTGGTTGCTTTGTTCTTCAACCTGCTTGTCATGTTAACAATATTTGCATCTTGTACTCCATTGCCATCTTCCAAACTGTTTATAGGCCTGATTTCTGTCTCTAACTTATTTATGGGAGTCTATACTGGTATTTTAACTTTCTTGGATGCTGTCTCTTGGGGAAGATTTGCTGAATTTGGCATATGGTGGGAGACTGGCAGTGGTTGCAGAGTTGCTGGGTTTCTTGCAGTCTTTTCGTCAGAAAGTGCCATTTTTTTCCTGATGTTGGCAGCTGTTGAACGGAGCTTCTCTGCGAAGGAGATCATTAAAAAGGGAAAAAGCAATCGCCAAAAACAATTTCAAATTGCAGCAGTTTTTGCTTTCCTGTGTGCTGTGGTAGCAGGATGCTTACCACTTTTTTATAAAGCGGAGTACTCGGCATCACCCCTTTGCTTGCCCTTCCCCACTGGAGAAACACCTTCATTAGGTTTCACAGTAACTTTAGTGCTCCTGAATTCATTAGCATTTTTGCTAATGGCTATTATCTACACTAAACTGTATTGCAACTTGGAAAAAGAGGACCTCTCCGAAAACTCGCAGTCCAGCATGATTAAGCATGTCGCTTGGCTAATCTTCACGAACTGCATCTTTTTCTGCCCCGTTGCGTTTTTCTCATTTGCACCGTTGATCACTGCAATTTCTATCAGCCCTGAAATCATGAAGTCTGTTACTTTGATATTTTTCCCCTTACCTGCTTGCCTGAATCCAGTTCTGTACGTATTCTTCAACCCAAAGTTCAAGGAAGACTGGAAGTTGCTCAGGCGCCATATGACCAGGAAGAACGGAGCGGTAGCAATTGCCGTCAACGCTCAAGGGGGCTGCGTGACGCAGGATTTTTACTACGACTGTGGCGTGTACACCCATTTGCAGGGTAACATCGCCGTGTGTGAATGTTGCGAATCGCTCCTTTTATCCAAGCCCGTGCCCTGTAAACATTTAATAAAATCACACAGCTGCCCCACGCTGGCAGTGGTGCCTTGCCAACGGCCGGATGGCTACTGGTCGGACTGTGGCACCCAGTCAGCCCACTCCGACTACGCGGACGAGGACGACTCCTTCGTGTCGGACAGCTCAGACCAAGTGCAGGCCTGCGGCCGTGCGTGTTTCTACCAAAGCCGAGGATTCCCTTTGGTTCGTTATGCCTACAACATACCAAGAGTTAAAGACTGAAAAGGCTTTTTGCCATCAGCTGCTCTAATAAAGAGGTATAACGCTTCGTAGACTGTTGCCTGTTTTGACCTTTCGAGCAGGAAGCACTTTTGTAATCATCGTTTAGTGTCATTTGTAAAGAAGGGAAGTGGGCAGTAACTTCTTGAGCCATACATTTGAAAATAATTAAACAAATAAATCAATTGCCCTGACTGTAAATAATTGGTAAACCAAATCTGCTACCCAATATTTTTACTCTTTCCATGCAATAGTGGTTTCTTTTACACAGTTTTTTACATGCTAATGGTGTGTTTCCACGTTGTACTCCAGTTGTACTTTGCTTCTGCTGTTGGCAAGGTAAGTTCTGTTGATTTTTTTCTTTTTTTTTTCTGCCAAAGCACAATATAAAGGACAGCTGTTTAATATTAAAAAAATTATTTTTAAATGTGACTTTTCTATAATTAAGCAAGAAACTCTCTTGCTAGCTTTGTATAGTGTATTCAGCATTGAATCTCAGGATGAATTTTACTGCAGGGCCAAAAAAGGGATTAATTCTCCCAAACACGACTGTGACAGCAATATAGGAATACCATGTTTGTTTTGTATTTCAAGCCAACGTTCAATTTTAAAAAAAGGTTTTGTTACAACAAAGCACTTGTAATCCACAATATCTGTAGACTATGAAATAAGCATATTAACAGCTGTCAGGAATAAGAGGGTTGAACATATTTTTCCAGTGATGATGCATTACTTCAGGTGAACCACAGCAACTTTCTTCAGTATTATGCAGTCGGGTCACACTGTTGGAAGGAATATTGATGCATCGGGGGGGTGGGGGGGGTGTTAGCAGTGCTGTCCATGTATACAGCTCATGTCTTTGCAGAAAGACCGGCTAATACTCTGCAGCCTGTTGAATGTTACAGCACCCCGATAGTATCTACGAATAGACTGAGATTTTAGCAAATGGAGGAAAAACAGAAAGCAATTTTGCAATAAAATAAAAGCATTTTTGCCAATTATTTTTCGGGGGGGTGGGGGGGGTGTTAGCAGTGCTGTCCATGTATACAGCTCATGTCTTTGCAGAAAGACCGGCTAATACTCTGCAGCCTGTTGAATGTTACAGCACCCCGATAGTATCTACGAATAGACTGAGATTTTAGCAAATGGAGGAAAAACAGAAAGCAATTTTGCAATAAAATAAAAGCATTTTTGCCAATTATTTTACCGAGAGTGAAGTGCACTGTGCAAAGTCACTGGTTTTCATGTAAATCAGTGCATTATTTTTAAACCATTCAAATCCTGAGACCCAAATGATTTAAGTACAATCAGTGATCCATTTATCTATATTTAGCTTGAAATCCGATTGATATAAAGTTATGAATGCATGATTAAGTAATTATGTATGTTTCTTGAACAATATGCTAAATCAAGAGCAAATCCACTGCCATCCCAGTTACTCTGGAGACATTCTCATTAAGATTTAAAGCTAGATTGCTGTTTTGAGAATTAAACTGTATATACTGTTCATACAATGAATTTTTATCTTTGTATTGTAAATTATTTGATAGAACACATGATGGGAAATGTGGCTTCAGTTCATTTTGTTAATTAAAGCTACCTCCTAAACAATAGTGGCTGCCAGTAGCAGAATGTTTAAAATGTGGTTTATATACTTTTTGCGTTGTAAATAGACATGGTTGTATATTGTCACTGTAATAAAAACAGAATCCTTGTATATCAAAATCATGTAGTTTGTATAAAGTATGGGAGGATTATTTACTGTATGCTGTTAATTTTGTAAGCCAAAATATTCACATGTAAAAACAAAAGAGAAGAAAACCAACCCAGAGTTGTTAATTCTTATATTTACACTCATGAATATTACATCTGCAATTAGCATGGAATGTTACACTGAAAGCAAATAAAGGGTACATGAATATCGATTGTTATTTATCTCTGTTTTTCAAAAGTTAAGGCTGAAAATGGTGCACATGTAAAATTATTGAGCATGAATAACGTGTCATCTGCTCTCCACTACGTGTGGTGAGAATTTTGGGAAAGAATTGCCAGCGAAGTAAGAAAGTTGCCAATTTACAAGTGGATTTATGATCTCGGACTAATGCTGACTCTTGGCATGCAAAAGGTTAAAACCTTCAGAGAAGTGTTTGCCCTCTTATAAAGCAATCTCTTTAATAAAGACATTATTGCATATTGTATTTGAGTTGAAATGTTTTTAGTATGGCTTGGAAAATCATAGAGATGATGATTTTGGTTTTGATACTATTTCCATGCTGAGAGTTGTGGGGGGTTTTTTTAGCCACAGTTTTGTAAGAGTCCCAGTCTGTTCCGCACTCCCCTCTGTTGGCCAACCAGTCACAGGTAACGAGAATACTTCTCAAAAAGGACAATAAATGTCAGATGCCATTTCATGATCGGTAGGGAAGGAAGTCCAACTATCAATTTCAAACAATGTTCCTGAGTATGGATTTATTTCTTCTTCTGTTTTACAAATGAGTCTTCACTAAAATGCTATTAAAATGCTCAGATGCGGTCCATTTGGAGTTACAGTATTTAATTTATACATCGATATGTTTTTGAAGTTACAGTTACGCTAACGGTTAATTTTTAATGCAGTCAGCCCAGTGTCTTCCAACACACGCAGGTTTTATCTGCTGGTAGAGATGAAAGAATACAGGCACTGGCTACTAAAATCAACCCGTCAAGAAGCAGTGCTGCAAAACTTGCCTGCCTCAGCATCACCACGTGCCCAACACCCATGGACGATCCTATAAGGAGAACCCGGAGAAATCCAGCCACCAGGTATTTAATGCCTCCTTTGTCGTGTCTTTGCTGGACAAGCTGATCTTGGTAGCAGGGCATAATGTTCAGATGTTCATAGCCGCAATAGAAAGCCATCCGCTGAGAACTCGCTCCCTCTCCTCCCCGCTCCAAAAGCGGTACCAAATATGTGGGGACAACTTGCCTTAAAGCTGTGCTGTTAGTAATGCGTGCGGTTTTTTGGTTACCTCTGTACAAGTGGCTTTCAGAGCTGTCACCTGGGCAGCCATCTCCTCAGCTAGGCAAAGCTTCCTAATTTCAGTTTTGATAACTCAAACAACTGAAAATTCAGAAGTTCTACTCTTCTGGGGTGTCTGCAGGAAACAAATCCTCTGATTTCCTAGAGTCAAGCTAGCTGAAACCGTCACTGCAAGAACAATGTCATGTACCTTGCTTCTAAACCCCTCTAAACAACTGTTGTACTGAGCTCCCAACGCTGGATTTAGCAGACAAAAAGAATTTGCTGTTGACTTTAAACAAAGGAAAACTTACAGCAAGGAGAACATTTTGTCTGTTTGTTTGTTTGTTTTCCTTCCTCATCTTCTGCTGTTGTGAGGAAGCAGCTTTCTGCAGGGGGACAGAGTCACAAATAAAATCGCCGAAGTTGTTGCTAAGGTGTTCCCTACCTTCCCCCCCCTTTAGAGTAATTTCTTACGGACAGCTATTAGCCTGCTCTGTGGCAGTAGGCTGGTGAGATCTCTCAATTTGAAATGGAGCCTTTTTATGCATCTACTTAGCAACTTTTTGGTCTAGATCCCTTTTGCCCTTTTTAATTTCTTTCCAGTAGAATTTCCTGTGTTTATTAATAAATTTACTCGGAAATTTCAGTGTTATACAAAGATACGTTTCTCCAATAATTCTTTTGACCTTGATTACTATTTTTAAGCCTTCAGTTTTAATTTACAGGGTAATCTTTTTAATTAAAAGCACAATGCAGAGTTTGTTTCTCAATTTAATAATTTTTAATTACATAGATGCTTTTGATCTTTTACTGCTAGCTTAAGAAGTTTATTTGTAGCAAAAGATTTTTTTAATACTACCTTTCACATATCATACAGTAGAATCTGACCGATTTACTTTTAGCACTAGAGTTCAGTTGAAGATAGTTCAGTAAATAAGGAAATTAATTAAATCTGAAATGGGATAATACATCACAAATTACTGTCGTCTTTACGGTTGTATACTGTAAGAACTTGGAGGTTGAATGGACACATTTCATGTGTTGCATTCATGGCACTACACTACTATAAAATACCATACTTTAGGTTTTACCTAAGAAATACTAGTTACCGGTCGCTGTGGCATTTACTATAGGGAAAATTATTTAGATTTGAAGGTAACAAAATACGAAGTGTCTCACTGGTTTCCAGTAACAAAAGTATAACCTGTAAGTGTCTTTTGAAAATTTCAGCCCCAAAATGAACAACTAAATCTGTTAATAACTGAAGCTTTAAAAGAGGTAAAGACTTTGTGCAGAAGCATAAACTAGCTGACCAACTGAAGGCTGTTCAAAAGCAGCAGGGCTGTGATCTTCAGCTAATGTAAAACAACAGAGTTGAGGAGATCCTGCTATTGATTCAAAAAGATGGGATTTGAATATAAATGTGTTTCATAGAGTTCTTGCACATTCCCCTAACCAAGAGAGAAATTCTCACCTTCTCAAGGCCTCATTCCTTGAAAGCAGATGGCTCCACATCTGCAATCAACAGCATCTGGGCTGAGTACTGCAAAGATGAGAATACACCGTACTGTGAAGGAAAACTGAAGCAATCCAAGACCTCTCAGATTTCACAGCCTCTGGTCAAGCAGAACTACAAATGCAGGCACAAAAATAGCCAGCAGATGAGTATAGGCAGTGCTCGTTCGGCTCTGATACTGAGTGCGGAGCCAAGTAGCTTTCTTCCTCACTGCCATGGCTCCTGCACCATTTTTCCCCACACGGGAAAATCTGAAGACTCGGGAAGACTTCTTAAATTTGACTACATTTGGTTCAAGTTTTCTGTTTTGTTTTTTTTTTCCAGGTTGCAAGTAAAATTAAGATAAACATTTTCTTCACAAATGTATGCTTAGGCAACAAACTTCAGGCATGTTGTCTAAGCCTTAGTTTGTGCCTAAATTTAGTACTTTTTTTTTCAGTAGGATTATTTTTATGCTTTTTCTGTGTTCCTGAATGCAAGTGTGGAACTAGACATTACATCTGAAAGCAATCTCATCTGATTCTTTTAATTACTTCTGGCTAGTGTTAATCAAGTTGAACTAAGAGGTTTCCTTCTGATAGCTCTTACGTTTTCGGAGACTGAGTTTATCAGGTTACAGTTGAATTTTTAAAATTCAACTATTTCATAAAGAAGAGTTGGCAAGTTCAAATATTTCAGAGTTGTCAAATCTGGGTAGTTAGTGATTCAGGGTAGTTGATTTATGCCTAGAATTTAATTAATTTCTCTGTTTGTTACCTGTAAAATTGCTTTCTTGACATCACTTTCCATGTAGAATGGTTTTTCAAATACTGTGGATGGCAATTAGGGATTACTTGTGAGCAATTTGTCAGGAGCATTTGGATGTTCAGACACGCTGATTGGCATGACTGAACAAACAGAAAGTACAGGTCTGTGAACATATCGCTCTGTGTTTACTCTGAATTTAACTCCCTGTTGCTATGTAGCTTAAAGCACTTCTTCCACTGTCTACGATGGTGTTGATTCAGTGAGCACTGAAAGACTGAATGCAGTTTTTGTCATTTCTTTGGTGAGAAATTAGGCTGATTTTTCACAACGGTAACAACCAGAGGAGGGTGTGTATATTTATTCACTACACTCCGTTGTTTGTGGCAACTTTTGTGCTTGTGTAAGTTTGATTTTGCCCATAGGCTCTAGCAGTGTTGGCACTTAATTCCTGCCACGGCAGATGCTTTTTAGAGGCAGACTTTCCTATTATGGCACTAAGTTCACAGAATTAAGGTTTTGCCATGAAGCATGTCCTTGTAACGTGCCATTTGTCTGCTTGTCAGTCCTTCTATGGCCATAGGAGTTGTGTACCTGAACCTGCAGGATTGTTGTTTCAATCGTTAGTATTTTACAAAATGACGTTGTTTGGGCTCTTACCTTGCCTGTATTAACTAGGGTGCAGTGACTGTGGAGCTGGCTTCACAAGCTGGGCAGAACAGTAGGA